CAGGTTTAAGAAAATTGAACAGGGGCAACTGTTGTACCCCAAAATTTCCCTCCCATATTTCTCAAAACATTTCAAGAAAAAATCCTCAAGTTGCTCAAGGTAGTCCAATGGTTGGCCAGACAAGCTCTCTCCTAAGGCAGTCTACCTCAAATTAGGGTTTCATGTTGCATCAAGACACTTGAGTCCAAGGGATCCCAAATGCTCACCAATGTATTAATATGTTATCAAGATCATCCATGTCAAGTTTCAAGCCTTGCAGAGGAAGTTTGCTCAGTCAATTGCTCAAAGGCTTGAAAATCGACTGTGCTAGGGCAAAAGTCAACTGTGGCCCACATACAGTCAAACTTCAAGATTTTTAGTCAACATTCTCATTTTGAAGTATATTTCATAATTTTATCAAGGGTTGATCATGATTCATCAAGGATTGCTCATAATTCATCAAGACTCAAAAGTTGCTAAATTAGGGTTTTGTAGGAAAAGTCAACTCAACTTTGACCAAGCATAACTTTCTCATACTTTATGATAAATGACCCATCCAAAGCTCATTTTGAAGAGTATGCAATTACTTACAATCCATCTTCATATCCCAAGTTCAAAATATGCACTCACAGGAAGTTATGAATTTGGACATTATAGGTCATTTTGGAAAGTCAACAAAAACACCTTTTTTGTCAAATCTTCATACATGAGCATGGAATATCAAATTGAGATGAGACCAAAAGGGTTGCTTAGAGGACATCTCAAGCTTTCTAAAAAAGTCCAAGAACACCTCCAAAGAGTCAAAATTGAGGAAGTTATGCATTGGTGAAGTTGACCCTTTTTACAAAATTGCCAAAAGTCAACTATCCCTAAAACTTCAATTTTTGCCAAATGGGCCCAATCTTTTCCACTTGTTTTGAGTTGGGAACATAGTCCACGAGCTCTAGCCCTTGCCATTTGTCATTATCATGTTTTTATTATTTATTTTGATTTTTATTTGATTTAAATCAATTTTAATCAAAATAAATCATATAAAATCCAAAATATTGAAAACACAAGATTTTGTGCTTGTTTCAGGTTTCAATTACAGCTAGCAAGTATTCAAATTCGTATCAAGGTATGGTGTGTACAAAAAGATTGAAATAGGCCAATTTTGGAAAGATTTTTAAGGAAGATCAAATCACAATCAAATTCAATAATGGAAGAAGATTGAGTACAGCCTATCAACCCTAATCCATTCCCTGATACATATAGAAGGTGTGCAGACTCAAAACTAGGTGAGAAAGAGGCGCAACATCAAGAACAAAAACTGGAAAAATCAAGAAAAAGTGCAAGATCGAATTCAGTGTTCCAGGCATCCTCAAGGCATCCTTGCTATCTCAATCACTTCCTGAGACTCCCAGCAAGCGAAAGTAATCGAAACCAAGCATTTTCAAGCCCTACATCTCACTGTAAGTCAGTCACGAAACCAGGCATTGATAGCATGAACTAATGATATATTCTTGATCCTTAAGACATATGCAAGCTTTCTGTGTTGTTTAATTGCATTTATATAGCCTATAGTAGATTTCACCATTGCTAGGGTTGCTTGCTTCGATTTGGGATTTTCTTTTGTAGGCTAAGTTAGACCATGAAAGGGCCACCACTGTACTCAGGAGGTCCAGACGAATCGATTGGTGGCCCTAGTTTTCATTTATCGTGCTCATGGAGAATTTTGAGAACTTGCAGGGTTGTAGCGACGGACGTTGTCCGTAGGTAAAGATTTTCAAACCTTTTAGCCATGGAGAGAGGACAGGGATGATGGCGTGGCTCCATCTAATTCGTCCATTTGAATTTTCGCGCAAAATTTTTGTTGCTTCGCTTGTTTTATATATAATAATTTTTGTTTATATTATGTACAACAAATACAAAGTGATGCAGTGGTGGCCAGGCGAGCTTTAAGGCATTGGAACGCTTGAGGTCAGGGGTTCGACCCCTGCCTCCAACATTTGTGTTTTTCTTAATTTATTTCAGGCAATCACATGTGTATATAAATCCAAGGCCTATCATACTCCCTCAAGATCCAACCATTCAGAAATCCAAGAAGCCAGATCTGATGGCTGTGACATGATGACCATGGTGGGCCTCAGTCAAGGCAATGTGCTGGATCTCAGAAGTCAACATGGACTTCCAATCATTGGGCCCAGAATTCTGATTCTTGCACCCCCATTTTTCAGGCCCATTTCTTATTCTTTTTCTTTTTATATTTCATTTAATTAATTTATTTATTTATTTTACTAACCAAATAATTATTTTATTTTTTAATCAAAAAATCACAAAAATATTTTTCTATCCAATTAAATTTAAGATATTTATTTTTATTAAAAAAATTATTTAATTTAATTAGGTTTGACTAATTTAGATAACTTTAATTTCTTTTTGTACATAATTAAAATTAATTAGAACAAATAGGTTTTATTTCTAATCTAATTATTTTCTTTTTATTAAAAATAACCAAAACACAAAAATAGGCTATGTAATTATTTTTATTAATTAATTTAATCACTAACTAATTCGTATATTTAAGTTTAAAACCTAATCTTTTTTTCTTAAAAATATAAAAAAAAATAATAAAAATATTTTCTCTTTTAATTAGGATAGAAGGGTCAAAACCCTAGTTTGCATTCGATCTTAATTTTTCTCGCGCGCTTTATTTTTATTATTTATCATATTGATGTAACTGCCTACAGTTTGTAATAGTTTAATTAAGACTTTTACTTTTATCGCTTTATTTTCAAAGGGTTTGTTTTTGGCTATGTAAATACCCAAAGCCTTGTAATAGCGTAGTTTAATTTCCGCATTTTAAAATTTCGCAAATATTTAACTGTTAGATGTATGATATTAGGATGCATGACAATAATGTATGTGAAAAACTTTAAAACAGTTAGATAATCCTAAACATGTGCAAAGATAAATAATCTGAAATTGAATCACTCGCACATGCGCACCCCTAGGGTACACTCCCACTTGGTTGCCTTCGGTAAATGGTCATTGAGTATAGGATGCTTTAGTGGTCGTCCTTTTGTCTAAACAAAGATCAAAGTTGCCTCGGAAGGGTTGCCTCGGATATTGTTGCCTCGGATAGTTGATCTAAGACATTAGGGTTATTACTAAGACGTCCTAACATTGCTTTGGTGACCGTACGTCCCTTTCGAATTGACCCTCAAAACTCCAACGACGGTGCTACCTACTCACTAATAGTGGGATAGCATTGTCTAAAGGAAACGAACATAAAACGATTCTTTTTTCGAGTAGGTAGATTAGCTCTTAAGTACTTGCTCAATCAAAACAAAATTTTCACACTTACACTCCTTTACAAAACAAGTTTTCAAAAACACTTCATTACACTCTTGAAGACAGAAGCAAAAGTTAAATCGAAGTCAAAACAAAAACTTTTCAAAACACACAAACACAAAGAAAACAATTTTGAAAATGATGAGCAAGTACCTAAGAGCCTGTAGATAACTACAGATAGAAAGGGTGCTAATACCTTCCCTTTCTATAATCTACCCCCGTACTCAGAAATATCTCGAAAAAAGAATTTTTCTGTGCTTTTTTCCTTTCCTTGTTGGATAAAATAAAAGTCGGTGGCGACTCTTGTTTACCGCGATATTTTGCGAAAACAAACGCAAAACGCAAACTAGCAAATTCCTTAAAAAGGGAAACACGTCCCGGTTCTGGCCACCGTATCACACATATCTTCAAAATAATCATTCAAAAATACACATTGATTTAACATTAAGAACTAAAAGTACATGCATAATAATTTTGTAAGAACCAAAACATACAATTTTTTTATAGGAGCGAAAAACAAAATTTAATAATTTTATAAAAAACAAAAATATATTTAATCCTAAAAAATATGTATTTTATTTTAATTTACCTAAAATCGTCAAATGCAACATTATTTCTTTAAAGTAAGTAGGGAGCATAGTAAATTGTCCTCCTTACCTCCAATAAATATACTCATAAAAAATCTACCTGATATGGTATTTAGTGAATACATATCAGCATACAAAATAGTTAAGATATATAGGTTTGGTTTATAAATGAAGAAAGTGTCGACAAGCTTGAACTGTTCACTTTTTGTGCTCAAAAACAAGACATCGTTTTCTAATAAATATAGCCATAAAAGGTGGAAAATGTTGAAAATTGAAGCCATGTAGGGTTTGAGGAAAGATGAATGATCCATGTCTTGGCAGCTCCCTGATCCAAATCCATCTCTTCTTTCATTTCCACCATTATTAGGTGTGGCAGTACGTTGTCATGTCTTATGCAAACATATAGCTGAATTATTAAACTCGTGTCTTTATAGCTTAAACTTGATAAAGTTAACAACTTGGTTGCAAATATTCAAGTGTCGATTTCAATACTGTGTTTATGGATGAGTGTGGACTTATTTATTCATTCATAAATGTCACTAATTGTAGTTTACTTTTCCTTTTTTATTTTGGTAGCAACCTCTAACTGTTTTCATTTTATTGATAAGGGAAATATCACCATTATAAATCCAAGATTAAACAAATTTAAAAAGTCCAATATAAAATAAATCTAATAAAATTAAACAAATATCAAAATAAAATTAAACAGTTTGTGTCATCTCAAAGTTTCATTCATGATAAAGTGATGAGTGTAACTTCTTTTCAAGAACTTTCCCACCAAATCAAAGTAAAAAAAAAAAAAACAAAGAGTTTCATTTTGGCTTATATAACAAGACAAGATAAAATCATATACATGCCTACCACCTTTGCTTATACCTCAAAGTACCCAACCACAAAACTTAATCAATTCTCCTATTTTCCCACTTTACATAACATTATTAATAAAGTCCATTTATGCTTCCCAAACAAGTATAACAAAATTCAACTATATGGTTGGCCTCACATCTAACTGAAATTTAATCATAAGCTCTTCTTCACATAACACTACATATTCATTCATAACCTCATCCAAAAAAAAATCAACATACCAAATAATTCAATATGGAACTTCCTTCACCTTCTACAATACTCATTGGTCTTTCCTTAGATTCAAATGATAGCAAGGAGCTTCTATCATGGACAATCAAAGTTCTAGCCAAACCACATGATACTATTGTTGCAGTGCATGTTCTTGGTTAGTAACTTTTTTTTAATTTTCTCATACTATGAATTATTAATGTTTTCCATTTTAATTAATAAGCTGAAAAGTTTGTTGAATTTTAGTTGGTGAGAATATGAAGAAAAGTCTGTCTGTGAGAAGAAGACAATCACATCTTAGACAAGCAAAAGCATATGTTATATCTGTGCTCGGAGAATTCGCGCAGACCAGTTGGTCTAAACAGGTAATAATAACAATAATGGAGCGATCAAAAATATATTTAACCCTTTTACGTAAAATAATGTTGACGAAAACATTGTTTTCAGATTAATTTGGAGGCAAAAGTGGCACTGAGTTCTACAATAGGTCGCGGTTTAGTGAAGGAAGCCGAGTTAATTTCGGCCGATTTTCTTCTCCTTCGCGGAACAAGAAACCGATCAAATAAGTAAGTAAGACTAAGAACCAAGTGTAACATTTGTCTAATTTTTTTATATTAAAGATCAAGCATGTGAAAATTTGGTTTTATTGTTGTTAGAATCGGAACCTTGAAAGGAATTACCAAGTATTGCTTTGATCATATGCATGGAAGTTGCACAATGGTCTCGGTTGGTATAGAAATGAATGCACAAAACAGGTCACCAAGAACAGTACTAGATGGATTAGAGGGACAATCCAATAGCACAGAAGATGATACTTTTAGCACTCGAGCATCGAGCATGACATATACGCCTTCATCTGATTCGAATTCGAATACTAAGAGAAAATCGAAGTTGAGAAAATCGCAATTCTCATTCAGGTTTATGATATCATTCCTTGGTTCACCATTCCGAATAAAGAGCAGTAACAACATGTCGAAAAATGAAATACATCATCAACCCTTGTTGAAGTGCTTCAGCTATGAAAATATTTGCAATGCTACTAATCACTTTCACCAAGGTATATATCATATATATATAGTCTTTAAAGATTTGATTAATGTTAACATTGAATTCGGTTTCTTATATGTTTCGTTTTTCGAAAATAGATAAGTTGGTTGGAAGAGGAGGGTACTCAGAAGTATATAAAGGTGATCTTAGTGATGGAGAAACCATTGCTGTGAAGAGGTTAGCCAAAGACAACAAAGATCCAAACAAGGAGAAAGAGTTTCTTATGGAGTTGGGTGTTATAGGACATGTCTGTCATCCGAATACCGCGAGTTTGTTAGGCTATTGCTTTGAAAATGGACTCTATCTGATTTTCAATTATTCTCAAAATGGAAACTTGTCAACTGCATTGCATGGTATTGTTACTGTAATTTTTCAAGAATTATTCTATGTAACACTGACACTTCAGATTAAAAGCGTGTCTGGTATCTGTATCTGACACCAACATGACACTGACACACACATGTACATACATTGTATATTTCATATTAGACGTGTCAGTATCATATCAAATGTTCGCGTCTCTGTCAGTATTTCAAGTATCGTTTTGTTATGTTTTCATATGAGATATAAAATGCAGTGAAATGAATATATCAGGTAAAGCGGGAAGTTCACTTGACTGGCCTATAAGGTACAAAATTGCTATTGGAGTTGCAAGAGGTCTCCATTATCTTCATAAATGTTGCAAACATCGAATAATTCATCGTGACATTAAAGCCTCCAATGTTCTTCTTGGTCCGGATTATGAACCACAGGTAGATAGATACTAATACTACTATAGAGTAGCAATAAACAATTTTGGGTTTACATAGTTTTGTTCTACCGAATTCAACTCGATCGCGCGCAACTTAAATTAAAAAAATTTATATACTTTATTTTGCATGTATTAGATTACAGATTTCGGACTTGCAAAGTGGCTTCCTAACAAATGGACTCACCATGCTGTAATCCCAGTGGAGGGAACATTTGGATATTTAGCACCAGAGGTTTTTATGCATGGCATTGTGGATGAGAAAACTGATATTTTCGCATTTGGTGTTCTTCTTTTGGAGATCGTAACCGGAAGAAGACCTGTTGATTCATCAAAGCAAAACATTCTCCTATGGGTAAATTCGCCATTCATTTCATCCCTAATACAATGTAGCATCGCTACTTCAATATCAGAGTGTCTGGTGTTTGTGTCTGTGTTTCATGCCTGTGTCAGTGTTTTATAGCTGATATCCTACTTAATATGGTGTTTGTGTCTGTGTTTATGCCTGTGTCAGTGTTTTATAGCTGATATCACTATTTAATATCAGGCAAAGCCTCTAATGGAATCAGGAGATACCGCTGAGCTGGCTGATCCAAGAATGGAAGGTAAATATGATACAGAAGAATTGCATAGGGTAATCCTAACAGCTTCATACTGTGTCAGACAAACTTCCACTTGGCGTCCTGCCACGACCGAGGTGAGCCAAAAAATAACAACATACATATCATCATGTTTAGTTTTTTTTAAGGTTTTGGTGTCTCAATAAGATCAAACTGCACGAAATGAAGTTTTGTTTTTTGTTCTCTGGTTTTATATAGGTGTTGGAGATGTTAACTAGTGGCCAAGACTATAAAATCGGAAAAAGTGAGAGAATTCCAAAGTTCATTTCTGATGAATTCGATGATTACTCCATGGTTTTTGGATATGATGTACCTTCGGAAATATCTCTAGAGGATTATTTGTGAGGATGAAATGTAGTTTAGTTTGGAAGTTTGTTTTACTATGATTTGAGGTTTGTGATAGGAGTGTGTGGTAATGAAGTTGTACATCAGAAATTGGTTCATTATTTTTGTAACTTAATAACATATTGCAAGTGTGAGAGAATGTGAAAGTTGAGAAAAATCACTTCAAAATATGAAACTTGGCACTCAAGCTATCTTAAAATCACTTTTTTTTCTCCAATAATTCAACATCAAAACATGCATAAAAATAAACTGAAAAACAATTTAATTAAGAGCTTATAGCATAATAACTTATACAAGTAGATGTAGATAACCTGTTTAGGAAACAAAAATAAAATAAATCACTTTGGTTTTCACAGCAACAATTTGGTTTAGTGTTGGTTCAATTTTCATATTTTCATGTTTTAAAATAATAGTTTAGTTTTGGTTTGTGTTTAGATAAATTTTAATTTGGTTTGATTCAGAACGGTTAATAAAATAACGGTTCAATTCATTAACCAAATATAATACTTTAACTATTTTAATTTCAGTTCAATTTAATTTAATTATTCGGTTCATGAATTTTTTTGAATAATTCTACTTTGCATAGCCATATTCAACAAGCAACAAAAATATTTATTGCAAAACTATAAAGCAACAAAAACTCAGTTTGCAAGAAATAAATTGATGATTGTGATCCATTTAGCGTTATTTGTTTGCAAGAATGAAATTGATTGGTTTTAGTTGTTATTCTATTATAGATTAGGAGGCTGTTTTTCTGGTATATAGTGTGACATTTCATTTGAATTTCTAATATTGATCTGTACCCAAAGTTGCATAATATGGTTCCGGCGTTTAAATTTTAAGCTTGTGATGTAATTAATCATTGTTGGTGTGTATCTTGGTAAGGGTCCTGTCTTTTATGTAGATACTTTGACCACAAGTTAACCCATATTTTCCTACTTTCATTTTGATGTTCTTTACTAGATTGATTTGAGAATTTAAGATGCCGCCTCCTAAATTAAATTAAATATGACACCCTCTTAATTTTCACTATTCTAGAATTATTCTTGTTGAGATATAAGTAATTTTTAGATGAAATTTTTGGTAGAGGTTTGAAATTTCTGATACAGATAAAATTTTCGGTACATCTCTGCAAAATTTCTGATTTATGTAAATTTTCGGTAATGTATTTGAAATTTTCGATATTCCGCAAATTTCAAATTTAGTAGGCAGTATCGGAAATTTGAGTTATACTAAAATTTTCGATCGTTCATTTATTCAAGTTTTTTAACGGTCGAAATTTTACCGACGTCTTTGGAGGGTCCTGATTGCACCGACAAATTTGTGCGGTCTAGAATGCATCGCCATTTGTATAAATAAGGGCATATACTATAGAGAAAAACATCTCAAACAATGCCTCTTCCTCAATTACTGATTAGGTCAAAAGTATATTACAACGAAAGCACCTATGCTGTTGAATTCAAACTTCCAGATGGCAGTACATCCCTTGCCACCTTGAAAGAAACGTTGAATGCATTGTTGCCTGATTCCGATAATAGAAGGGTGACAAAGATCGAGTTTTGGGACCATTATATTGATGCAGATGGTTGGATGAAATACAACCTGATTGAGTTGAAGACCGATGAAGATGTGAATGCCATGTGGAAAACATTTCACCGTAGGATGATTAAAGATCCGATCGAGTTGAATGCGAAGATCCGAAGATCCGTCAACGACATAATCAAGATGTTGAAACCTCCAGAATCATCCAATAGTGTATAGGTTTTCATCCGGTGAGAACCGGCCAGAGAACGTCGTCCAACCTGTAGCTCGGAAGCCTGTGCCTCATCAGCTCGGGCCTGAGCTTCCGCTCTATCGGCCATCCTGCCCTCAACAAAACCATCTTTGCCCCTGGTCCTTACTAAAACAATGAATAATAGGAGGAAAAAAATTAGGAAAATATGAACTACTGGAAATTTAGAAATTTCCGATATTTTTAAAAAATATTTGAACTACCTGAAATTTTAAAATTTCTGGTACATGCTGCAAAATTCCGAAAATTTCAATATTTCCGGTATAAAAGGTAAATACTAAACCCAGAAATTTCAAAATTTACAGTTAGAATATACCAGATATTTTGAAATTTCTGGTACAAAATACCAGAAATTACACAAATACACCATACATTTCCAGTATCGCCCAGTGAATTTAAAAAATTCGGTGTGGTAGTGAAAATTTGAAATATTTAAGAAATTTTTGGGTTTTGACAATTTAGTCTTTTCATACCCTTTGGGAGGGTGTTATGTATAAAAGAGAGTGCCATGTTAAATTCTTGATTGATTTGGTTGTTCTTGAATAACCATAGCTTAGTGATATTGGTGCATGTTAGTCCACTAGCAAACACATTGAAGACTATTGTTACTTTCATTATGTTGTAAAAATCTAAGGTTTAATTCACATCAAGAAGTTTGTTGGGTGGAGACAAAAAACAGTGGCAACCAAAATAAACAGTCTTTAGCAATAGTAATCAATAAGACAATGAATTTTGAAGAAAAAGATAAAATAAGGCGAAAAACACGAAAAGTTTGATTATCCCGTTGGATCAAATGATTTAAGTATGGGGGTGTTGGCTGAAGATTTTGATGATACTGTTCGAAGCGAAGCAAGTTGGACGTTTCGTTGGAATAAAGCAAGATGTCATGTTTCGAAATGGTAGAAGTAGTGCTTCGAATTGGCATGTCAAAACTCTGAGCTTCGAGTGACAGTTATAGGGATATATTCAAAAGAAGTCTCAAAGTGGTAACAAGGTTGTGTCCAAGAAATAAGTTCGAAGCGAAGAGTACCAAAACATTTGAAATTCAAACGCAAGCGGGATGTTCGAAATTTAAAATATATGCGCTGGAGCATTCAAAGACGCGTGGAAGCTAGAGAGGGGCATTGCTTTGCATGTTCTGAATGTGGCAGAATCTTATAGGCAAGACCGTTATGGTCGAAGTAGTATAAATAGAAGTCTTAGCGTTAGGATTTCGTGTGTCATATCTATTGTACAAAAATTCAGTAAACATTCAAAATACCACATGGCTAGGGAAACGAATGCTCGAACAATGTACGTATGATAACACCAAATATTTATGATTCAATAAAACTCTTTATCATTTCCAGTTTTTTCCTCTATCTTCATGTCAATATCATTCAAAAGCCTTTACATTAAAGTATTTTCATTCGAAGTCTTTTACTGATTTCTTGCATTTAAATGTTTTCTTTCCATTTCAAATCCTTTATTTTCAGAAACTTTTGTATATTTCATGCCTTTATCTTCATGCTTTTATCATTCGAATACCTTTTTCATTCAAAGTCATTTTACTGATTTCTTGCATTTAAACGCTTTCTTTACATTTCGAGTCTTTTACATTCCAGAGAATCTTTTACATTACATGCTTTTATACTTCGAAGTAATTTACTTGTCTTTTTTGCAGTTTTACATGTCTTTACAATTGAACCTTTATTCATGCAATTTAGTTTCTCACGTATTTACTTGATCATGTTATTAGATCTTTAATAGAGTAATCGAAGTAAGTTGAACACCTACACAACAATCTAAATACCAAACATGAATGTCAGTTCTACAATAAGAATTATCCAAACGACCAATAAACCATAGGATCAATCTAGTCGATCCTGCAAGTTACCAGAGAGATTAAATAACAGTCATTAAGATTATTTGATAGTTTGGAGGACTAGCGGTTGTTTACCAGAAATAACTGTAAACAAATTGGCACACCCGGTGGGACACGTCATTCGTCATTACGAAATTTAGAACAAAGTAAAAGATTGTTGAGACATAACCATTGTAAAAGTACTCTCTGAGTGATAAGTTTGTTGTTATATGAACCTTAGAAGTGGTAGAATAACCAATAGCAACCAACCCTTACCCAGAAGAAAACGTTTAAACAAGATGTCTAATCCAGACAATCAACAAGGGGAACAGAATATCCCATATACAACAGGCACTAATATGTCCGCTTCGATGGGAACATCTAATGCGATCCCTTCGAACGTACAGTCTGTTGCATCCTCTACCAGTAGTGTATCCACTAATGGAACAAGTGGCATGTCAACTAACAGTTCGATCCTAGGAAATACTGGAACCATTGGTTATCCTGGGGGATTCGTCCCACCATCAGGGACACAAACCCATTTCGTCACCCCACTAACTAGACCACCCGGGTTCGATGCTAACAGACACAGGAATTCCTCTTATGGGATGCCAACATCTTTTATGGCGGGTCTTCACACTTCGACATCGAATACATCACCGCAATTAGGGTCTGGGTCTGGGGCAAACCAATTTATGACAAATAACCAAGGATCAGTGGGTTATAGTGCAATGCCTATCTTAACCACAGAAAATCAGTTGGCCTTTAGGCAATTAATGGATGTCAGTAACCATAATATGATAGGAGTATTAGCACAAACTATGCAGGAGATCTTTGCCCCAATAGTATAAAATGTAACTGTGACAAACAGAGAAAACGCAGATAACATGAGTCGAATAGCAGATTTCTTCGCTCCCTCAAAAAGGCGTAGGCAGAATCAGGCGGGAGTTCGAGCAAACGTACCTATCATAGAACAAGTTGCTAACGACCCACCCTATAGACCAGCCAGAGAGGAGGTTAATTTGGGGGCAAGGGCACAAAGGTTAGAAGCCCCAATGATTCAAGGCCCACAAAGAGGGGCAAGGATCGAAAGGATAAAAGTCCCAGAGTTTCGAGAAGAACAACCTAGAGGAGTTGTCATGGTAGGTCGAAATCAAGATGCTGATGCAGTTGTTCACAGAATTCGAAATGATAACATCTTGGCTGAAAATAATTTAACCACCATGATAGAGAGAATCATGGCCCAGAATGGCCTCTACACAGGAATTAGAAGGCCAAACTATGTCTCTCCTATATTAGATTACATAATGCACACTGATTTACCAAGGGGATATAAAGTCCCTAAGTTTACAAAGTTTGCTGGGG